TAGATTGCCACATCACATCAAGCATCCATGTTTCTTGGAGATTTCCCTTTAGCCACCATGCATCCGCCATATAAAAAAAAAACAATCTCCCAGTGCAAAACTGCTTCAATAAAACTATTTATTTAAATTATAAAGCCACTCACATTTAAAATACACTCATTACAAGTGTTACAGTGCTTTTGGTTAATGCAGACAGTTGCTGAATGTCTAAACCCCACTACTTCCCATCTTGGCCATGAAGTGATGTCACCTGACTCCGTCCAACATGTTGTACCACTGATCATGTGACTTCATCAGATGAAGACAATAGAATAGAACAGAAGAGAATAAATATAACCATCTTCCGAAATTTGAATTAGTACAATTTGTTTGTAAGTTAGTGCAATAGTAAAGCTCAAAGTAAATGTATGCAATTTACTTTAGATCTCTTTTAAATGCTGCGATACACATGGGTAGAAAAAAAGGTTGTGTAACTGGCTAGTATAACATTGCGATACCATTAACATTAGGTCAATGGGTGCATAAATTTGTATGACTAATTTGAGCAATTGCTTAAGATTTAAAAGACCTTGACAATATAAGCGTTTGATGCTTGCACAGCAAACACAGATTTCATCCAGATCGCCCATTGTTGCAACTTTACAGGCCATTGTTGCAACTTACAGGCCCACCTCTACAGGCTTTAGCCCGCACACAGCCCAGGTAGGTGCAGGCACAAAAACAAAGGGAGCAGGCATGCAGGATGCGTCTAAATGAAGCCTTTGTTTTTGTGCCTGCACCTACCTGGGCTGTGTGCGGGCAGCCTGTAGAGGTGGGTGAAGGCACAGAGGCTACATGGACAAAGTTGAATGTAGCTGCATGTTAAATTTCAACATGTGGGCAGGAGTGGGAGCAGAGTTCTGAATGCAGACAATGTACTGTCCATATATTTTTTTTATTTTTACATTTATTTACACTTTTTTTAAATTTCACTGTTTCCTCTTGAAGGGTTTGGATTCTTTAGAGCACTCTGTGAAAGCATTGCAAGCCCTACAACTGATCATTTTAGCTCTTAGGCATAGCGCTGGATGCTGGTTGTTACAGGCAACTGACCGTTCTAGTGCTTACCACCGCCAGAACCCTCTGAAGCCACTGATCTCCACCACCACTTTAAAACAGTACTGTGACAAATAGCTGATATTCCATTGCTGCATTCCTGGGGATTCATAATCGTTTTAGCATCGACCATTGGATTTAAATTTGCCAGTGGTTTGCGGAGTCTGTCCCCATCCTAAAAAAAAACTGCCCTCCTGTTTCTCAGTTTCAGTCAAACTCTTATTAAGACCACATATGATACAGCAGTTTATAATTTGATCAGCACCAGGACAGTTTTAATAAGCAAGACTGGCCAAAATGTATTATAGACACAGCAGAAGCAGTTGTTTTACTACATGAATTTTGAACATAGTGGAAACTGCATAAAATTATTTTACTCTTTATTTTTACTGATTTGTTACTAAATGGACATTATTTTTCTTTTAAACAAATGCTCATGCATGTATTAAGTGCATGGATGGTGAGTACATCTAGTGAATTGTGTTTATAGTACAGTAATAAGAAATAGGTTCAATTCCATTCATTTTTTTTGTAAACTCGAGTTATCAAAAACATCTAGGCAGGTAAAAAATGGACATAGTGATTACTCATCATATTCTTAATTCACATTCAAAATATTCATATTCAACCACCACTACCTGTTATTAAGCATAAAATTCACTAGCACATTCAGGCAATTAAAGCCTCTCCCCCAAGTAAAAGCCCCATGGTATATAGCAGTGGTTCTCAACCTTTCTAATGCCACGACCCCTTAATACAGTTCCCTCATGTTGTGGTGACCCCCAAATCATAAAATTATTTTCGCTGCTACTTCATAACTGTAATTTTGCAGTGGGAGGACTAGCGCCCCATCACTGATGTCAGTGGGATGAATAGTGTCCCATCATTGGTGTCAGTGGGATGAATAGTGTCCCATCATTGGCATTAGTGGGAGGAATAGTTCAGTGGGAGGAATAGTGTCCCATCGTTGGTATCAGTGGGAGGAATAGTGCCCCATCATTGATATCAGTGGGAGGAATAGTGCCCCATCATTGGTATCAGTGGGAGGAATAGTGCCCCATCATTGGTATCAGTGGGAGGAATAGTGTCCCATCCTTGGTGTCAGTGGGAGGAATAGTGCCCCATCGTTGGTGTCAGTGGGAGGACTAGCGCCCCATCACTGATGTCAGTGGGATGAATAGTGTCCCATCATTGGTGTCAGTGGGATGAATAGTGTCCCATCATTGGCATTAGTGGGAAGAATAGTGCCCCATCATTGGTATCAGTGGGAGGAATAGTGCCCCATCATTGATATCAGTGGGAGGAATAGTGCCCCATCACTGGTGTCAGTGGGAGGAATAGTGTCCCATCGTTGGTATCAGTGGGAGGAATAGAGCCCCATCATTGATATCAGTGGGAGGAATAGTGCCCCATCATTGGTATCAGTGGGAGGAATAGTGCCCCATCATTGGTATCAGTGGGAGGAATAGTGCCCCATCACTGGTGTCAGTGGGAGGAATAGTGCCCCATCATTGGTATCAGTGGGAGGAATAGTGCCCCATCACTGGTGTCAGTGGGAGGAATAGTGCCCCATCATTGGTATCAGTGGGAGGAATAGTGTCCCATCCTTGGTGTCAGTGGGAGGAATAGTGCCCCATCGTTGGTGTCAGTGGGAGGAATAGTGTCCCATCGTTGGTATCAGTGGGAGGAATAGTGTCCCATCGTTGGTATCAGTGGGAGGATAGTGCCCCATCGTTGGTATCAGTGGGAGGAATAGTGCCCCATCATTGGTGTCAGTGGGAGGAATAGTGTCCCATCGTTGGTATCAGTGGGAGGAATAGTGTCCCATCGTTGGTATCAGTGGGAGGAATAGTGCCCCATCGTTGGTATCAGTGGGAGGAATAGTGCCCCATCATTGGTGTCAGTGGGAGGAATAGTGCCTCATCATTGGTATCAGTGGGAGGAATAGTGCCTCATCATTGGTATCAGTGGGAGGAATAGTGCCCCATCGTTGGTGTCAGTGGGAGGAATAGTGCCCCATCATTGGTATCAGTGGGAGGAAATAGTGTCCCATCGTTGGTATCAGTGGGAGGAATAGTGCCCCATAATTGGTATCAGTGGGAGGAATAGTGCCCCATCATTGGTGTCAGTGGGAGGAATAGTGCCTCATCATTGGTGTCAGTGGGAGGAATAGTGCCCCATCAGTGGTATCAGTGGGAGGAATAGTACCCCATCATTGGTGTCAGTGGGAGGAATAGTGCCCCATCGTTGGTGTCAGTGGGAGGAATAGTGCCCCATCATTGGTATCAGTGGGAGGAATAGTGTCCCATCGTTGGTGTCAGTGGGAGGAATAGTGCCCCATCGTTGGTATCAGTGGGAGGAATAGTGCCCCATCATTGGTGTCAGTGGGAGGAATAGTGCCTCATCATTGGTATCAGTGGGAGGAATAGTGTCCCATCATTGGTATCAGTGGGAGGAATAGTGCCCCATCATTGGTGTCAGTGGAGGAATAGTGCCCCATCATTGGTGTCAGTGGGAGGAATAGTGCCCCATCATTGGTGTCAGTGGGAGGAATAGTGCCCCATCATTGGTATCAGTGGGAGGAATAGTGCCCCATCATTGGTGTTAGTGGGAGAAATAGTGCCCATCATTGATGTCAGTGTGGTGGAGGGGGGAATAGTGCCCCATCATTGGGGTCAGAGGGGGGAATAGTGACCCATCATTGGTGTCAGTGGGGGGGGGGGGGGGAATAGTGTCCCATCGTTGGTGTCGGTGGGGGGAGGAATAGTGCCCCATTCTTGGTGTCAGTGGGGGGAGGAATAGTGCCCCATCGTTGGTGTCAGTGGGGAGGAATAGTGCCCCATTCTTGGTGCCAGTGGGGGGGAGGAATAGTGCCCCATCGTTGGTGTCAGTGGGAGGAATAGTGCCTCATCATTGGTATCAGTGGGAGGAATAGTGCCCCATCATTGGTATCAGTGGGAGGAAAAGTGCCCCATCATTGGTGACAGTGGGAGGAATAGTGCCTCATCATTGGTATCAGTGGGAGGAATAGTGCCTCATCATTGGTATCAGTGGGAGGAATAGTGCCCCATCGTTGGTGTCAGTGGGAGGAATAGTGCCCCATCATTGGTATCAGTGGGAGGAATAGTGTCCCATCGTTGATATCAGTGGGAGGAATAGTGCCCCATAATTGGTATCAGTGGGAGGAATAGTGCCCCATCATTGGTGTCAGTGGGAGGAATAGTGCCTCATCATTGGTTGTGTCAGTGGGAGGAATAGTGCATCATCATTGGTATCAGTGGGAGGAATAGTGCCCCATCAGTGGTATCAGTGGGAGGAATAGTACCCCATCATTGGTGTCAGTGGGAGGAATAGTGCCCCATCGTTGGTGTCAGTGGGAGGAATAGTGCCCCATCATTGGTATCAGTGGGAGGAATAGTGTCCCATCGTTGGTGTCAGTGGGAGGAATAGTGCCCCATCGTTGGTATCAGTGGGAGGAATAGTGCCCCATCATTGGTGTCAGTGGGAGGAATAGTGCCTCATCATTGGTATCAGTGGGAGGAATAGTGTCCCATCATTGGTATCAGTGGGAGGAATAGTGCCCCATCATTGGTGTCAGTGGGAGGAATAGTGCCCCATCATTGGTGTCAGTGGGAGGAATAGTGCCCCATCATTGGTGTCAGTGGGAGGAATAGTGCCCCATCATTGGTGTCAGTGGGAGGAATAGTGCCCCATCATTGGTGTCGGTGGGGGGGAGGAATAGTGCCCCATTCTTGGTGTCAGTGGGGGGGAGGAATAGTGCCCCATTGTTGGTGTCAGTGGGAGGAATAGTGCCTCATCGTTGGTGTCAGTGGGGGGAGGAATAATGCCCCATTGTTGGTATTAGTGACACAAATTATGGGGCACTATCCCTTCCACTGACACCAATGATACTTACCTTGCTTACTCCTGCTCCAGCCTGGGCTCGCTCTCCCATCTCCCATCTACAGCCTGCATACCTGGCTGCAGCAGCAAAATTGCACTTACCTGTCAGCTGTCTTCCTTCTCTGGCCTCTCTCTTCACTCGCTCCTGCAGCTCCCTCGATCTTCTTTGATCTACGCGTGCTGCCGCTCGGCTCCTCCTCTCCAAGCTCCACCTCCTCGCCGGTGATTGGCCGCCTGTGTGCCTCTCCTGAGCAACAGTTCCGGTGGCCAATCAGCAGCGAGGAGGTGAAGCTGTTGAGTGATCCCGGAGGTGTGGCCAGGTGACAGGGGCAGCATATCCTCCCCCCACTGACACCACACATTGCCTGAGACAGGAGCGGTGTCTCGGTTCCTAAGACCATCGGAAATATGTGTTTTCCGATGGTCTTAGGCGACCCCTGTGAAATGGTCGTTCGACCCCCAAAGGGGTCGCGACCCCCAGGTTGAGAACCGCTGGTATATAGGGACATCCATTATATTAGTCTTTGATGTTAAAGGCTAAGTTCACCCTCTTGTAACATGTTACATGATACACCCATATTCTGAATGTAAACATGTTATGAACAGACTGGCATGCCCCCAGTCCCCATTGTGAAAGCTAGGGGGGTTCTTCTCCCTGCTAGCTGTCACATATTATACAAAAACATGGCTGTGTGGGGCTCCGCCTGTCCAGCCATGTCATTCATTCACAGTGTTCTGTAAATGGGAAAACTACAAGTCCTAGCAGCCTTTTGCAGCTGTCAGTTTGTAGTTCTCAATGAACTACGATGGCGCTCCACAGTGCTGTGCTAGTTCACTGAGCCTTCCTGTCTGTAAGTATCTGCTTGCCCTTACGGGATGTATGAGCAAGCAGATACACTGGCAGGTCAGAGGGAGACCTACTTATCAGTGCAAATGTTTGTTTACATTGGTTACATTGGTAGATTGTGTAAATACTCCAGTTATACTGGTAGCCAGAATAATCCAATTCCCTTTGCTAAATTGGTAGGTAGTGTAGAATTCAAACTGCATTTGGAGGGCCTTGAAATTATTCATATGAGGTTTTAGCAGAGTCCATGTATCCTTACAGGAGAAATGGCAGGATCGGTTTCCAAAAGAGGTGAACTTTGGTCTATATGGAGATGTTTGCCTTCTTCCAGAGGCACCATTTGTGCAGGACAAATGCTACTTTTGCCTTGCTGATTCTGCACTGGACCTTGGTGTTGGATTCCACCTTCTTCTCCTGCACCAACAATCCTAGGTATTTGAATTCTTGGACCAGCTTAAAATTAATTCTAATAAGGTGAACATTGGCCTGTGATCTATCTGTGATCATCAGTTTGATCTAATACACACTGGGGTTTATTTACTAAAGCTGGAGAATGCAGACTCACTTCTACATAGAAACCAATTGATCCAAACTACTGAGATGTAGTTTTATATCTCAACAATTCCATGGCAATGACTTCCTTTGGCATAGATGTCTAAAAATGTAAATGATTCCCTTATTTAATTTAACCATAATATTGCAGGTAAGTCTATTGCTTCAACAAAATGGGATAAACCAAGTGATAAAACATGATAATATAATTTAGGTAACTGTGTACATAGTGGAGGCTACTTGGTCACCTATCAGCTTCACCTAGGGCAGTGGTTCTCAACCTTTCTAATACCGCGACCCCTTAATACAGTTCCTCATGTTGTGGTGACCCCCAACCATAAAATTATTTTCGCTGCTACTTCATAACTGTAATTTTGCAGTGGGAGGACTAGCGCCCCATCACTGATGTCAGTGGGATGAATAGTGTCCCATCATTGGTGTCAGTGGGATGAATAGTGTCCCATCATTGGCATTAGTAGAAGGAATAGTGCCCCATCATTGGTATCAGTGGGAGGAATAGTGCCCCATCATTGGTATCAGTGGGAGGAATAGTGCCCCATCATTGGTATCAGTGGGAGGAATAGTGCCCCATCACTGGTGTCAGTGGGAGGAATAGTGTCCCATCGTTGGTATCAGTGGGAGGAATAGTGCCCCATCATTGATATCAGTGGGAGGAATAGTGCCCCATCATTGGTATCAGTGGGAGGAATAGTGCCCCATCATTGGTATCAGTGGGAGGAATAGTGCCCCATCACTGGTGTCAGTGGGAGGAATAGTGCCCCATCATTGGTATCAGTGGGAGGAATAGTGCCCCATCACTGGTGTCAGTGGGAGGAATAGTGCCCCATCATTGGTATCAGTGGGAGGAATAGTGTCCCATCCTTGGTGTCAGTGGGAGGAATAGTGCCCCATCGTTGGTGTCAGTGGGAGGACTAGCGCCCCATCACTGATGTCAGTGGGATGAATAGTGTCCCATCATTGGTGTCAGTGGGATGAATAGTGTCCCATCATTGGCATTAGTGGGAGGAATAGTGCCCCATCATTGGTATCAGTGGGAGGAATAGTGCCCCATCATTGGTATCAGTGGGAGGAATAGTGCCCCATCACTGGTGTCAGTGGGAGGAATAGTGTCCCATCGTTGGTATCAGTGGGAGGAATAGTGCCCCATCATTGATATCAGTGGGAGGAATAGTGCCCCATCATTGGTATCAGTGGGAGGAATAGTGCCCCATCATTGGTATCAGTGGGAGGAATAGTGCCCCATCACTGGTGTCAGTGGGAGGAATAGTGCCCCATCATTGGTATCAGTGGGAGGAATAGTGCCCCATCACTGGTGTCAGTGGGAGGAATAGTGCCCCATCATTGGTATCAGTGGGAGGAATAGTGTCCCATCCTTGGTGTCAGTGGGAGGAATAGTGCCCCATCGTTGGTGTCAGTGGGAGGAATAGTGTCCCATCGTTGGTATCAGTGGGAGGAATAGTGTCCCATCGTTGGTATCAGTGGGAGGAATAGTGCCCCATCGTTGGTATCAGTGGGAGGAATAGTGCCCCATCATTGGTGTCAGTGGGAGGAATAGTGCCTCATCATTGGTATCAGTGGGAGGAATAGTGCCTCATCATTGGTATCAGTGGGAGGAATAGTGCCCCATCATTGGTATCAGTGGGAGGAATAGTGCCCCATCATTGGTGTCAGTGGGAGGAATAGTGCCTCATCATTGGTATCAGTGGGAGGAATAGTGCCTCATCATTGGTATCAGTGGGAGGAATAGTGCCCCATCGTTGGTGTCAGTGGGAGGAATAGTGCCCCATCATTGGTATCAGTGGGAGGAATAGTGTCCCATCGTTGGTATCAGTGGGAGGAATAGTGCCCCATCATTGGTATCAGTGGGAGGAATAGTGCCCCATCATTGGTGTCAGTGGGAGGAATAGTGCCTCATCATTGGTGTCAGTGGGAGGAATAGTGCCTCATCATTGGTATCAGTGGGAGGAATAGTGCCCCATCAGTGGTATCAGTGGGAGGAATAGTACCCCATCATTGGTGTCAGTGGGAGGAATAGTGCCCCATCATTGGTGTCAGTGGGAGGAATAGTGCCCCATCATTGGTATCAGTGGGAGGAATAGTGTCCCATCGTTGGTGTCAGTGGGAGGAATAGTGCCCCATCATTGGTATCAGTGGGAGGAATAGTGCCCCATCATTGGTGTCAGTGGGAGGAATAGTGCCTCATCATTGGTATCAGTGGGAGGAATAGTGCCCCATCATTGGTATCAGTGGGAGGAATAGTGCCCCATCATTGGTGTCAGTGGGAGGAATAGTGCCCCATCATTGGTGTCAGTGGGAGGAATAGTGCCCCATCATTGGTGTCAGTGGGAGGAATAGTGCCCCATCATTGGTATCAGTGGGAGGAATAGTGCCCCATCATTGGTGTCAGTGCTCTCCTGAGCAACAGTTCCGGTGGCCAATCAGCAGCGAGGAGGCGGAGCTGTTGAGTGATCCCGGAGGTGTGGCCAGGTGACAGGGGCAGCATATCCTCCCCCCACTGACACCACACATTGCCTGAGACAGGAGCGGTGTCTCGGTTCCTAAGACCATTGGAAATATGTGTTTTCCGATGGTCTTAGGCGACCCCTGTGAAATGGTCGTTCGACCTCCAAAGGGGTCGCGACCCCCAGGTTGAGAACCGCTGACCTAGGGCATCAGAGAAGTTGAGATTTTGAACTTAAAATGATTTTATAAAAAGTTAAAATGATAGCTGAGGTGTTTCCTGATTGATTTGGATTGATGTCCAACTAGCTGTAGCTGTAACTATTATTATCAGTTAAAGCTAAGTAAAGACCTTGAGTCTTTAATCTTAAATTGTATTTTTTTCATCGCTTCATCTGCGCAACCCAGCAAATTTTAAACAGTTAACTTGCTAAATTTATAATACAGTATAAAACACACACACAAACACACATACACAGGACATATGGTGATTTTATCATCTCTCATTACTCTTCCTTATTGCATGCTTCCTGGTTTATAAAATATAAAGGAGCGATATTGTCTATACTTATAAAATCTGCAAAATCATGCCATTTTATCCTTAAATCCTCTTCATTAACCAATCCCCTAATCAATTGCTCAATATTAAGTGACCAGGGAGAATTGCTCTTGATAGTTCTTGCTAGCCCATGGAAACGTTCTGTATTTACATTGCAAGCCATGCTGCACATTATAAACAGGTATGGACTTTGTAATCTCATTCAGAATTTTAGATTTTTTAAATTTCAAGGACAGATTTTAATCTGATTGCTGCCAGTGGGTAAATATGAATACATCCTTCCTTGAAGAATACATTTTCAGTTTACACAAGGCTCGTTTCTGTATTGGTAGGAAAACATCTCCTGGCAAGGTGTCTGGGTTTTACATTATTTAGAAATATCAATGATACCTGTATACTCCCATATTCAGCTACACAGTAACCCCTGCAGCTGTGTGTTCTATCAACCCATGTTCCAATATTACTCTTATTCAGATGTAGCACCCTCCTAGATAGGTGCTAGGCTAGGTAAATGTAGTTATTTGGCTCTCCTGTAATCAGGGAGCTGCTTCTTATTTCTCTGGTCTGCTCTGGGTTTCACTGGTTTCACTGTGGGTTTGACTACTTCTCTTTGCCTTCTGGATAGTTCTGGAAAGTAGTGGGCTGGATGATGAAATGTTTTTGCTGTCTCAGCCAATCACTGGGGGAGAGTGCCCAAATTGTTATTGGGAGAGAACATAAAAAGTCTGAAGCCTGGAGCTACTCTGTTCTTCCCCAGGAGGAGAGGTTCACAGCCAGAAGGGCTGCTTCCCTTCCTGGCAGTCAAGCTGAAGATTCTATCAGTCTCATCAATGTCCCAGCTTTGCATAGCTAGGGGGCTTGCTCTGCTGCAAATCCTTTGGGAGCTAAAAGAAGAGTTTATTGAGGATCTGGCTTGGAGGTTTTACTGTCTGTCTGAATCTTGCAGGAGACATCCA